TATGTCCTCTGGAATGGTGGTTGAAGCATGAAGGGACATACAGCTCTTTAGCACATCTGGCACGTAAATACCTTGCAATGCTTGCTACAACAGTGCCATGTGAGTGCCTATTCTCACTTTCAGGTGACATTGTAAACAAGAAGCAGGCAGCATTATCTCTTGAAAATGTAAAGAAACTTGTTTGTCTGAGCAATTGGCTGAACAAGAAGTAGGACAGAGTGGACTTGTAGGCTCCAACATTTTACATTGTTTTATTTTTCAATACAGTTATTTTTTGTACATAATTCCACATTTGTAAGCTCAACTTCCATGATAAAAAGATTGCATTACAGTACTTGTATGAGGTGAATTGAAAAATATTATTTCTTGTTTTTTACAGCACTAATATTTGTAATCAAAAATATAAAGTGAGCACTATACACTTTGTATTCTGTGTTGTAATTGAAATCAATATATTTGAAAATGTAGAAAACATCCAAAAATATTTAAATAAATGGTATTCTATTATTTTTTTAACAGCATGATTAATCATTTGATAGCTCTAGTGTAGATCATGTTTATGAAGATCCTTTTAAAATGGCATAAGGGCCCTTGAAAACTTCCAGAAGATAACTGGTAGCGTACTTATTTAAAAAGCAGAAAGCTATCTGGGGAGAAAATTTGCAGCAATATACAAATACCACTTTTTGTAGAAAGTCTAGACAGGTTGCCCTAAAGCTGTCAAAAACTGTCACAATCCATCAGTATTGATATTTTTTTCTCCAGACAATACTACAATACAGTGGTGTGACCTAAGGTGAGTCTTTCTTTAGCTAAGAAACATCTCACCAAAACTGCTGCAGGTTATGAGATGTGATTGTTTTAATCATCTTCAGTATCTGAAATTCCATTTAAAGATATTTTACTAATGTCCACAGTTACTAAGCTTGAGGGAATTTAGTCTGTGTCACTTGCATTTAATTAGCACACGCCAAAGCCAGAGTTGGCAAACATATATGTTACAATATTTGGCATTCAGCCATTCTGCGGGAAGGTGAATTTTGACATGCTGTATTTTGTATAATTATATTTGGCAAATCACTGATTTGTACCTCTCCAGAGATTACCTTTTTAAACTTTTTAAAAGGTGATAAAGTCAATTATATTGACAAGTGAAGAGTACCCTTATCAGTCAGGTTAAATTGCATGTCTAACAAAAATAATAGTAGCTAATTAAAGTAGCTGAAACTGCTTCAAGGCTTAGAATGTACAAGTATAGTCCTGCCTCTAACAAAATACATGTTATGGTTTAACATTTTTTTTTTAACTTGACCTCAGCTACCGAACAAAACCCTCTGATATGATAACCTTTAAAACCTTCAACTATCAGTGACCTCGACAAATGGCAGAAGCAACAACAAAAGCTTAACTTTTTTAAAGTGTGTAAGAATTGTGACATTCAATCCAGGTTCCTATACTGTGTGCACCATTGTGTTAACCGAGTCCTTCAAAATTACAGTACATAGTACTGTCTTTAGAAATTAGGCATGTAGCATGATTAAGGCACACATTTTAAAAATTAAAAAACAGAACACTTTTCTGGTGATATTTTTTAAGGTTCGGACACTTAAAAAAAAGTGTATGCTGTTGTTACTACTTTTTGCTCCTGACTCAGAAACAACAAGTACATATTTCTCAAAGTGCATGATTTTTTTCCAGCAACATAGCGTTCGGAATGAGTTTAACATGAAACACTGAACAAGTGTTGTTAACATTAACTTTCAGCAAAAGAACAGTTTTAATAGTGTCATTCAACTGTTCACAACACTGAACACTGGTTCCACTGGACTATATGTTTCTGGTAAACACAGAGCAAGTTTTACCTGGTATAGCAAAATATCTTGAACAAAAGAAGTTTTACAAAACCAAATGTTTTGACTAATGAAATAAATTGGGAAGTTACAGGTGTCCCAAAAGAAGTTCCTAGGATACTGGAACATTAGATGAACAATTAGTACATATGGTCACTTCAAGCATGGTAAAAGAAGAAATAACATAGAAGAGTAAATAGACTTCAGTTTATCTGAGAATCAAGATGTTCTCTGCTATAAAGTAGTACTGCTAGAAAACTTAACTTTAAATATATACATACTGTATGCCAAATAATATTTTACAAGACTGTCCAGCAACCTATATTATTGCATCCCTAGAGAACCATAATAATTAAGACAAACATTTTAATACCCTGAATCTACTATTACTTGGTTAAATTAACCAGGATAATAGGTGTCAAATAATGAAGATGAGCATTTAATTTGCAAAGGGAGCTAATCTTAGAGTAATGCAATTTATCCTTGCCTTAGAGAATGTTAAAAAAAGAATTTAACCTTTTTACTATACTTGGAGTACAATGCTGAAGGATCCTCCTAGGAGGTTTAACACTGACAGCTTCAATCCTGTGAAATATAAAGCTTGCCTAGACTAATCTCATGACAGGATTTTACTGTTTTTCTGTATTATTGATGAGCCATTCTAACAATCCAGTTACAATACTCACTGTGCTAGCTTTAAAACCAGTTTCAAGATCTTCAGTGTAGTTACACGAAAAAATACAGTTCTTTCTTGAATGTCTTTTGTACAACATTATATACTTCAGAATTGTTTTAGATTTGTTTTTATTTAAGTCTAAAATGTTAGATTTTGGATCTTAAATACATTCTCTCCCACACTTCCAGCTATTACCTTTATGCTAATAACTCCTCTGTTGCTTCTTTCTTTATATCTGATATCTAATGAATGAACTCATAACCCATGAATGAGAATTGAAGCTATGCACTCAGAGAATTGCTAGCCATGCACTATGGGGTGAAATTTTAGCTCTATTGAAGTCAATGTGAGTTTTGCTGTGGACTTCAGCGGGATTTCACTCATCTTTTCCTTCAGCTCATCTGATTAGATGCCTTCTCAAATCCCTTAGTAGCTTCCCATTTTACCACATCAAGAGCAAGAGACTCAGCTTCATTTTCAAGCCCTGCATAATCTTGTTCTTGTCTACATTTTTGCTCTCCTGTCTTCCCACTGTTTAGTTCCTTTATTACTTCCAATCCTTACTGCCCCCCTTTCATTTATTTTTCCCACTCTATTACTTCTACCTGCTTTCTGGCTGACCATTTTGCTTGTAATGGCTTGTCACCTGATCCCAAATCCCTTCGGTCTCCTCCTGCTGAACCTTCTGTAGAACCCATTTCCCCCCCAAAAAAATCCTACCATTGTTTTCCTACCTCAACGTGGCAGAAGTATTGCCAAGCAATTTTGCCCTTCCCTAGGCTGTCTTCAGGGTGAGGACCTTGTCTTATTATTTGTTCTGTACAGTTCATGTACTTATGGCACTATAAATTATTAGTTTCAGTATCTTGAGATACACCATACTGAAACAGGCAATGGGAGAACCTAGCATTAGAAAGATCTTGACCTTCATGCTCTGATACTATTGACTTCCCTTCTCAGTTACTCAACACAGTTCTCAGAAATCTCAGACATTTTCCTCTGTTGATTTTATTCCAGTTTCTCCACCTGTTCTTTTTTGGGTTCCTGTAAACTAGTAACCTCAAAGTGATATTCCATGGGATTTCTGCCTTAACCTATCATTGTCCCTATTTGTCTTGGTCTTCTCTTTTCCAAATTCAGACTTGAGCTGGAATATCAATTGATAGTCTACATCTGCTTAAGATTCATCACTGTCCTAGCTTTCTGTCTGCCTTAGTTTAATCAACTACTAGAGGTAGAATGTTTTTTCCCCCCACTCAACACATGAAAAACTGCTCTCTTACCAGCAAGTAAGGTAAGTGAACGTCAAGCCTTCCCATCCCTCTTGGACTTTAATCTTTAGTTAGAAAATCATAGACATGAAACCCAGACTCTTAAAACCTTCATATAGCTATACAATAATGATAACCAAATACTTCAAATTCCAACACTAACTCAGGAGGATATTAAAACAGGAGCTAATAAAGACAGACATTTTAAAATCAGCAGCTCTGGATAACTTGCATCCAAGAGTTTTAAAAGAGCTGGCTGAGGAGCATTCTGGATCGTTAATGCTGATTTTCAGTAAATCTTGGAACACTGAAGACATTCCAGAAGACTGTATGAAAGCTAATGTTGTGCCAATATTTAAAGAGGGTAAACAGGACAACCTGGGCCAGCACATCACTCTCCCGCGCCACTTCTCGCTGCCCCCATTGGCCCGGGACGGCGAACCGCGGCCAGTGGGGGCCGCGATCGGCCGAACCTGCCACGTCATCAGGTAAATAAAACTGGCTCGGCCCGCCAGGGTGCTTACCCTGATGAGCCGCGTGCCGAACATTGCCAACCCCTGACCTAGGTAAATATAGGCCTTTACATTACAAATGTGGTTGATAAAAATAACAGTATTGACGTAATTGGCTTGTGTAAGGCATTTCACTTGGTACTATATGACATTTGGATTAAGAAACTAGAATGATACAAAAATCAACATGGCACATGTAAAATGGATTAAAAACTAGATCAAAATGTAATTGTAAATGGGGAGTAATGATTGAAGGGGTGTGTTTCCAGTGGAGTCCTGCAGGGACCAGTTTTTAGCCTTCACTATTTAACATTTTTATCAATGACCTGGAAGAAAACAAAGCCATTACTAATAAAGTTTGTAGATGATACAAAGATTGTGTGAATAGTAAATAATTAAGAGGACAGGTCACTGATACAGAGCAACCTGGATCATTTGGTAAACTGGAAGCAAGCAAACAATATGTTTTAACATAGCAAAATGTGAAGTCATAAATTTAGTACAAAGAATATAGGTCATACCCACAGGATAGGGGCCTCTATCCTGGGAAGCAGCGACTCTGAAAAGAAATTGGGGGCCATGGTGGATAATCAACTGAACGTAAGCTGTGAAGCGGTGATCAAAAGGACTACTGTGATCCCTGGTTGTGTAAACAGAGGAATATTAAGTAGGAATAGGGAGGTTATATTACCTCTGTATTTGTGACTGGGGCAACTGCTACTGGAAGATAGTGTCCAATTCTGGTATCCACAATTCAAGAAGGATGTTGATGAACTGGAGACGGTTCAAAGAGCCACAAGAATGTTTAAATAATTGGAAAACATGCCTTATAGATTTAAGGAGCTCAATATATTTAGTTTAACAAAAAGAAGGTTAATGGGTGACTTGATCACAATCTATACAGGAGGAACAAGATCCAAAGGCTGGAAGTTGAAGCTAGACAAATTTAGACTAGCAATAAGGTGCACATTTGTTACAGGGAAGGTAATTAATCATTGGAACAATTTACCAAGAGTCATGGTGGATTCTCAATCACTGGAAATTTTAAAATCAAGATTTTTATAAAAGGATATGGTCTACTCAAACAGGAATTAATTCAGGGAAGTCCTATGGCCTGTGTTATACAAGAAGTAGTAAACAGATGATCACTGTGGTCCCTTTTGGCCTTATAATCTTTGATAACTAGATGTAAATGATTAAATCTCTTAATATAGTGAAACCATATCTTGGGCAGAACTACCGCCAAACAGAGTATGTCCTTGTTCGCACTTTGGCCATACTTCCACAGATTTTCATTCCAGTAAAGATCTTTTTGAAGTTAGATTAAATTAGCTCTTAGTTGTAAAGATGGCTACTTATGGCTATAGGTATATTAGTAGAGCAGAATGGGGAAGACTGTACTTCTGTTACCTATAGTGAACCAGTTCTGTGGTATTTTCATAAGTATTAAAATGTACATAAACAAAAAAAATTAATGCTGCCCCCTACACCACTCTGGAGCAGTTCTCCTCCAATAGTCAACCACGACTTATCTTATTTGCTATCCTTACATTTCCCATTGGTGCCAATTTAAGTCAGTGGGAATTTTGCTTGAAAGACTACCGGATCAGGTTCATTATTTATATTTTGTTTCTCCAAGAACACTGCACTATTAAACAAGCAAGTTTATGGAGTCCTCATTATTTTTAATCACAATTCTAATTTTTATTAATGCTGATTTTGAGCCTCAGCAGTTTTGCAGGGTCCAATATAATACCAAATAAGCCTCATATTAATCATGGAACTTTTGAAATTTTTGCATCTTTTATTTCCAGCCCCAACTCTGCAGACACTGAGATCAGTAGCCCAGGTATTTCTCTACAGTGAATTTTTTTTTATCCTGTGGAAAGACAGGCTGCATTGGTTTGAGGAAGGATTAGATACAATTAAAAAAAATAGTAAGAAATAGAAAAAATTCTATCTTACCTGTGAATTTTCATTTTAAGACCCTCCATGTTAGACAGCCTTCATAGTGGGACATTCCCCATTGCCACAGCAACGGGAGGCAGATCAGATCTTTGCTCTGAACTTGGGCTTAGGTTCACTGCTCAGAAAGAATTCTCCAGAACAACAGCTTCCAAAGCTGAAAAATACTAATTATATAAAGTGCTATCCAACTCAAACCATTTACAGCAGAGCCTTGACATGAAAAATTTAGCAATTTTCTGGAGAAACACCCTTTTCCTTTTCACACTATTTAACAGGCAAGCAAGACATAGCCAGGGGGGAGGGAAAAAAACAAGCCAACCAACCACACCCACACCCTTCACTCTGAACATAATGCATTCTTCCAAGGCATGATCAGACGATCTGATATGGAAAGTCCTAGAACGAAAATTTACAAGAGAATTTTTCCTCTCTGTCCCCTCGATGTCCGTCAGTCTTCAGAGCAGGGATGTAGAAAGCAGTAAATCACCCTAGGCAAGGAGGGACTCAGTTTACCTGTGTAGAACTGAATAGGAACTTAAGGTTTGACAGCCATCCTGTTGAGGAACAGACTTCTATCAAATCCTGTATCAGATGGGGTAAGAGTGTTAACTTAATACTATAAAGAAAGTATAGATGGAAGACCCTGTAAGTAACCTTACAGAGATCCTGATAAGATGTGTGAAAAGAGCAACAATAGAAAGATCACACAAAGTGCATAGTAAGAAGAGTCATACCTGAGGCTTTGAATGTCTCTCTCTCTCTCTATATATATATACACACACACACTCTGTAGACTCCATTCACATGTAACTTATGCATTTCTACTTCCTTAGGGTATTTGTTTCAACCAGAAGAGCAACAACACTACTTTCTATTATGTGAGGAAGACTGGTATTTTTGGGAATGGAGGCCTAACTAGTTCACAGAAGTACAAATGTGTAACTCAGGTTTCACTCCGAGCATACCAAACTCCTTAGCTTCCTTGGACAAGGAGGTGCCAAGTAGGCAAGATACTTTCAGCAAGAAGAGGAAGAGACCTACCAACTGTGAAGTTGAAAGGTAGTTTTATTAAAAGTTGCCGTGATTTTGATCTGTGAGCTAGAAGAATCTGCATCTTGCCAGTGGACTGGTAAGAGTAGTGGTCCTCAGGAACCTGTTATCTGACTTGAATAAGAGATTTCCCTGGTTTTCTTACAGTGCAATATGCCTGCAGTCACTGATTTGTCTTTCCAAAGAGCATTGGCCTTGAGTTTGATGATCAGGCCAACTTGTCCTTTGCTTCAACTGACTTTGCCCTGATGAATGTTCTTTGTAACATTAATATCTAGACCTCTAGTTTATGATAGACATCATTTGTATATTTCTTCTAAGATGCTAGGTGGCTGCTGATCACCTTCTTAGAATGAGAGACTGTAATTCCTTCCTCTCAGCTTCCCAAATGATGAATTAGGCGGCATGGGATATCCGTTCAGGATAAGCCCTTTTTAGAGTGCGTGCATGTATGTGCTGGACATTTGAAAGAAGGTTCCAATTACGCTTCTCAGACCTAATTGAGGAAAGACCTGAGGGTTAATAAGACTATAAGACCTAAGGATTAATATGATTATAATCACTGTGGCCTGTTCCTTCACAATATTCTTTACCATCTTTACACTCAGTGACTGAGGGGAGAAGGCATAAAGGAGATCTTTTAGCCCACTTCTTAGATAAGGAAGGAAGCAAAGATACTACATTTGTGAATACCAATATAGAAGTTCTAAGTTCCAAAAAGGGGCTCATGAAACCTCATTGAAAATACTTCTTGTAGCAGAAGTTAAAGAATTTCTGGGTAGCTCTCCCCGATCAGATCTTCAGTAGAACTCCAGGTTTATTTTCATCCTGTAAAGTTCTGGGAAGATAATGCTGTAATGATGGATTTCATATTTCCAACTGGAATATTAATCTCTTTATGGACTTGCTGAGAGACTTGAGATTTAAAATGGACTCTATGTCATTGTTTCTCTTCGTACCACAAAAAAATCGTATGCCCTTTCCAAAAATATCTGTCTCTCCTCAGAACTGGTTCTATTGTTCCAACGAGTAGGAGATGAAAAATTCACCCTTCACCTTCTGATTCTACAAAGGGTCTTGCTGATAGCGTTGGTTTATTTTCATTTACTTTGGAGAAAAGATAAACTTGGCCAAGGGGCAAGGATTGAATTCTATAGTTCTTCTGAATATCCTTCCCCTGATTATTTCAAGCACCTATTTTCTGAGGTGGTTCACTCCCAGATGAGTGCCCACTATGAAAAACTCTTCATTGGGATGGAGCTGGGGGAAAGCTGCACAGACTTGGGAACCCCAAAACAAGAGAAGCTTTTGAGATTACATGGTTTTCCTTGATCTTCCAACTCTCACAGAAGGCAGAAATGCCCTCATCCTAATGTGTAATCTCTACATTGGAACCTGGTGCAACAGCTTCAAAGAAAACACCTATGACATAAGGTCGTTTGAAGATTCTCTCATTGGAAGGAGGAAGGGATTATTCCTTTGCCTAGAGACAAAGTAGTCACACAGGGTTTATGATCCTCACAGTGTTTAACAAAATAGTTGGAAGGATATCAGAGGTTAGCCCCAATTTATTCAAATAGAGCAATAGTTGCACCAGGACACATCTATGGAAGTTTTGAATATGCAGCAAATCAGTCAGATGAGATATCAGTTCTAAAAAAAGGCTGGCAGGAAAATTTTGTTTAGAATAGATTTGATGTAATTTTTTTTTTTGCATGTGCTCACAGTGGACCTCCACAATAAGAGACTGCAACCAATATTCTCAGGGCTTAGGCTGCTTTATCCAAGTTTAGTCTGAGTCACAATCCTATTCTCCTGTCTGCAGGTTTGGCAGGAATGTTACCTCAGCTGGCATGACTGTGCCCTTTACTAAGAAGGATGCAGCAACCTTAAACTCAGGCAGAGTAATGGAGACCTTAGTCCATATGTACAAGTAGTCCTTGATAGGGAATTCCCACTCCATCTTAATCACACCCATAAACCATTTGAGGAAGAATTACACAGCTCTTCCTCAACTTTGCAAGTGTTTTGTTGTTTTGTTTTTAGAAGGGGAGGCATTTTTTAAAGAAGAAGAACCTGAGATGACAGATGCCCTTTTGTACTTAATTCTGGATGCTTAGCTGAGCGTCTGAGGTATCTCACTCAAAGGCTCAGCTTTAGTTTTCTCCTCTTTAAAGGATCTAGAAGTGAGACTCTCTCATTACATATTTTAAGTTTTTGTGCTGACCCTTTAGGAGCTGAATCCGCAGTATCTATCCTTCACCAGTCTCTGGGCCAATCCCCTGTGAGAAGGCCGAGAGCAGGTTACTATTGAGATTGAAAGGACAGTGTTAAGGCATGCATCCTTCATGTTTCTCTAAGAAAAACTGTAGCCATTTTATGACCTCCTGTGGGACTCCTGCAGGCTGGAAGGCAGAGAAAAGACAAGTCAACATCCCACTCTAAATCATTTCATCTCATGCTCCTTGTTGCTAGGTCCAGGCTGAGCAGGGGACAACTGCATAGAATTAGGAATGAGCCATAGCAACTGGAAACAAATGACTCATTTGGTATCAGAAAGGTCACAGAAGCTGCCACCTTTCATGATGCAGGTAGAACACTGTGGGAAGGGGGTATGCTTTGCACCCTTTTTAATCAGCTCAGCATTTATCTTGCCTACATGCTGGCTGGGAGCAGGTATTTCTTCACTCCTGGCTCCCCTTCACCTTGCCTCCACCCAAGATTCATGAGGCTCTACGTGGGAATAGGGGTCCCATTCTCAAGGGAGAGGCAGCAGGGCTGTGGAAAACTTAACTCCAGCTCTATGACACTGATTCCGGCCTGGTCTCGGTGAAGGGAGCTTCCATGTGGCCTACTCAACTGTTTCAGTGTGGACCTTACCCACATGCTGGCTAGGAGCCAGCTTTCCCCGTGGCCTGCTTAGCTGTCTTGGCATGGACCTTGCCCACATTACAGCTGGTTGCTGAGTTCCTGTGGTCTGCTTTCGCTGTTGGCCATTTCTGAGGGAGAAGAGGAAGAGAGCTGCTATCCTTCAAACCCTCCTTAGAAAGCCAAGTTTTAACTTTAGCAGTTTTGGGGAGAAAAATCTCAAAACCAATAAAGGCAGAAAAATTTAGTTTAATGGGAGTTTATAAAATTTTAAAGCTTTGCTACAAAGGGAGACCTGGGAGTATGTCATGCGTGCTGCTTGGAGGCGAGAATTCTGGAGAGTTCTTCCCAATGAGTAGTCCCCAAGCCCAGGTTCAGAGCAAAAATCTGGTTTGCCACTAAATGCTATGGAGATGGGGAATGACCGACCATGAAGAGAGGCAAACATGGAAGGTGCTGAGAATTAAAGTTTGAATGTAATTAAAAAAAAATTGTAATCATAGCTATATAAAATATTAGCTAAGTGTGACAAAAGTATAGCACAATATATTCATATATTCTTTACTAACCAATAAGAAGAAGGGTTCCAACAGCTAAACCTCCACCTGGAAACAAAACAAAAACCAAGAACAAGATGAGACTATATTTTAATGTTACCTTAGAGAACAATTAAGTTTGCTTAGTTTATAAGTCAAAGAAAGATGATATAGCAAGTTTAAAAATGTAAATGTGAACAACATTTTAATTACCTTTGCAAACTTCCTACAATTCACTATTATGAAATAATTACATATTACATGTAATTATATATTACACATTACAATTACTTTCATAATATATTGTACTATTCTCTTTATATGAAAAGATCCTGCAGAGATCTACACAACTGAGCTTAAGTACTGCAATAATGTTGTAGAGCCTTAATCAAACACTTACTTTAGTAGGACTACTCAGGTGAATAAAAATGTGCAGGATTGGGTCCATATTTAGCAGCAATTAATAATACTAACTCTACAGCCACCAATTAACCATGCAGAGTACCTCAACAAGGGCTCATCCAACTCGCACTGATGTCAACAGGGAAAATTCTGGCTGCTCTGAAGTAAATGGTAAAAACTCTTATTGACTTCAGAGGAGCCAGATTTCAGCCAATGAGAGTCGAATGGAGCCTTTAAGTACATAAAATCCGAGAGATTAAGCTTCTACCCTAAAAGCATTTCCTTGTTTGACACTTCTCATCTCCTTAAATATATAGAGGCCTGCCTGGATAAACATAACTGGTTGATTTTTTAACTGGTTGTTAAAAAATAAGGATTCACTCCATGTTTTTCTCTTCCCATTTTGTTTACATAACCAGTCATTATGTACCAATCACTGATGATCAAATGAACATAGCAAAAAAATCTGTTAGCTGAAATTAATATTCAGTTATCAGAAACCTGTCTTACATCTTAGTACACTTGAAAGAACAGTTGAATTCATTAGTACACATTTTGAATTGTGACTACATTAGAGTTGATTTTCTTGATCCCCACCTCAGAATTTATAATATCAATGATGTAATTCCATCAGTCAGTTTTAAAAAGTGCTCATAACATTTACCTGCCCAAACATAAGCCTCCACACCCATCCTTTTAATGAAAGAAAAACCCACTATTTTGCATATTTATATAAAAAAAATTCTTTACACAGGACAAGTAGAATTTGCAAGACAAGTATAAGTGGCCACTCTCCTAAAATAAGTAATTATCTTAAAAATAAAGAAGTGTGTTAACTATCCTTAACAGAACTGAAGTGGAAGGAGGACAGTAAAGGGAAAAAGTTGTTTGAGAAACCACTACTACAATGGCAGAGAATAGACAGCTCATTATGAAAGAAATCTTAAAAATTTTACACATTTTTATGAAGCAGGAAAATATGAAAGTGGGCCCATGTTTGTCCCAGCTGTACAACATACCAACTATAAACTAAAATATTTACTGCAGCAAACAAGGCTATCCTACCTGTATGAAGTGATAAAACATTTTTAAAATACATTTAGTATTACAAACAGTTCTGTATGTTTTACTGAATAACATTCTGTGGAAATAGGGCAACTGAGGCTTTGTCTACACTCATGGCAGCACATAGGGTATATATAGCTACAAGCTGAAGTTAAGGGCAGGCTGCATCCATACTGCCATACGTAGCTGCTCATGACAGAGAAAGGCTATGTATGGTGCGGGAGGCAGCAAGGAAAGACTCCAGCAGCTCCTTGCTGCAGGAGCCTCTCTCTGCGCCTCCCTGCTGCCAAAGCCTTTCCCTGCTTCTGGAGCCTTTCACCAGCAGCACGATGCTACATTGCTAAAAATAGCAATGTAGATGTGGGAGCCACTACTTCAGTGCGTAGAGAACTTCTGTAGGGCAGGTCGGTAGTCAATTATTTTTTGTCAAGATCCAAATTTCTTGATCAAGGTATAGTCAAGGTCCAGACTCCAGAGAAAATAACTCAACAACAATAAAGATAAAAAGTAAAAACAAATATTTTAGGGTCCATTCAAAAGCATCTGGCAGTCCGGATCCGGCCTGCAGTCCACCTATTGAGTTCCCTTTTTGTAGGGCAGGGTTCGGCAACCTTTCAGAAGAGGTATGCCGAGTCTTCATTTATTCACTGTAATTCAAGGTTTCGCATGCCAGTAATACATTTTAACATTTTTAGAAGGTCTCTGTCTATAAGTCTATAATATATAACTAAACTATTGTTGTATGTAAAGTAAATAAGGCTTTTAAAATGTTTAAGAAGCTTCATTTAAAATTAAATTAAAATACAAAAACACCCCCGGACCGGTGGCCAGGACCCGGGCAGTGTGAGTGCCATTGAAAATCAGCTCGTGTGCCGCCTTCGGCATGCATGCCATAGGTTGCCTACCCCTGTTGTAGGGTATTTAACCTAATATTCTGGCATGCCTTTACTCGCCTAAGCAATGCCTCAGCATCTACATTGCTATTTACACCCAGGGTAGGGGAGCATGCAATGTCTGTACTCTATACGCTGCCCTAAGTTTAGACATAGCCTAATGGTTACTATTTTGCAGTAAGGAATTTTAGTTAATAAATAACTTCTGTATCAGCTCATATTTTTATTTAAATATTTCTGTTTTTAAATAATTTAGCTATTATATTGACTACACAATTTTATTTCTCTTTAGATTTCTTACAGATTACACAGACTCACACACAGATGTAATGAAGTTTTTTAAGTGTTCCTAATACGTACATTAACAGTTATCACTATCAATAAAAAACAAAAACGAGGATGTTGTATCATACGTGAGCTACAAATGGAATAAATACCAGCTGGAAATATACTCTCTTTAAAGTTGCTCCGAGAGAAAGCTCCATGGTCAAAATGATCTTGATAACTATTTTCTGTTTGTATTCAAGAACTTGTTTGATGCACATTGTTTGAACTATTTCCAGTGCAAATTAAGTATGGTTTACATTATTAACATCTTAAGAGTATGCATGTGGGGTGTGATTTGGGGAGGGGTTATAGGGGAAACAAAGGGAAGGAGAGAAGTTGGAAACATGTATGGATATCCTATTTTCCCTGGATATATACTTATAATTACAATTGAGGTGAATAGGTGATAGCTAAGAGGAGATGAAGAGAACAGATAAGAGAGCTTTAGGAATGAGTCTGATATCTAAGCAGGCCCCGTCCTAGAAAATATCTTTTGAACTATTGACCCAGCTATTTAAACTTCATCCAAAAGTCAAACTGACTTAAATACGCAAGTCCAGACATGAGGACTTTTAAAATTCTGGTTTGGTACAAATAAAATAAGCTGCAACATTTAAAATCTCTGCCAGAAGTTTAGAAGTAATAAATTTAGGCCAAAAATTTCAAATCAAAATGCCTGAAATTAAGCTCCTAAATTGCTTTTTGAGTATTACAAGAACCAACCCAATTTTCAAAAAGGCTAGTCAAGCAGAAATTCCACTGGCAACTGAAAGACGTTCAGCACATGAATACATCTTAGGAACCTAACTTTATGAATCCAGGTTTGAGAATTCTGGCCTTAGCTTCAAAACAAGTTTAAAGTATCTATAAAGAGAGATTTCAGAGTAGCAGCCGTGTTAGTCTGTATCCGCAAAAAGAGAACAGGAGTACTTGTGGCACCTTAGAGACTAACAAATTTATTAGAGCATAAGCTTTCATGGACTACAGCCGAAGAAGTGGGCTGTAGTCCACGAA